GTTATCTATAAACAGAGATTATTTTACTTCTTCCTTTCCAAGGTGGATGCCTTTTATTTCTTTTTCTTGCCTGATTGCTCTGGCTAGGAATTTCAGTGCTATGTTGAATAGAAGTGGTGAAAGTGGGCATCCTTATCTTGTTCCTGACGTTAGAGGAAAGATTTGTTTTTTACCATTGAGAATGATGTTCATTGTGGGCTTTTCATGTATGGCCTTTATTATGTTAAGGTAGTTTACTTTTATTCTTAGTTTGTTGGGTGTTTTTATCACGAAAGGATTTAAAAGTTTTTGAATGCTTTTTATCTATCAATTGAGATGATCATGTGTTTTTTCCCCTTCATTCTGTTAATGTGTTGTGTTACATTGATTGATTTTCATGTATTGGAACAACTTCCCATTCCAGAAATAAGTTGTGTTGAGTCATGGTGTATAATCCTTTTCCTGTGCTGTTGAATTTTATTTGCTAGTATTTTGTGGAGGATTTTTGTATCAATATTCATCAGAGATATTGATCTGTAGTTTTCTTTGTCTGTCTTTGGTATCAGATTAATACTGACCTCATAGATTGAGTTTGGAACTATTGCCTTCTCTTCAGTTGTTTTGGAGGAGTTTGAGGAAGATTGGTGTTCTCTTTTAAATGTTTGGTAGAATTCACCAGTGAAATTGTCTAGTCTGGGCTTTTGTAGTTGTTGTTGGGAGATTTTTGATTACTGATGAAATCTCCTTACTAATTATAGGTCTGTTCCCATTATTTATTTCTTCATGATTCATTAGTGGGTAGGTTGTGTGTTTCTAAGAATTTATCTATTTTCATCTAGGTTATCCAATTTGTTGATGTACAGTTCTTCATAGTACTCTTTATAATCCTATTTACTGCTGCAAAATTGGTAGTACTATCCCTTCCTTCATTTCTGATTTTAGTCAACTCTTTTCTCTTTTTTTCTTAGTGAGCCTAGCTAAAGATTTGTAAATTTTGTTGTTCGTTTTGAAGAGTCAACTTTTGGTTTCATCAATTTTCTCTATTGGTTTTCTGTTCTCTATTTTGCTTATCTCTGTTCTAATCTTTATTATTTCATTCCTTCTGGTAGCTTTGGGTTTAGTTAATCTATTTAAATTTCTTTAAGGTGCAAATTTGTATTGTTGATTTGGGATATTTCTTCTTTTTTAATGTGAACATTTACAGCTATAAATTTCCCTCCCAGGACTACTTCCGCTGCATCTCATAAATTTTGACGTGTTTCATTTTAATTTTTTTGTTTTTTAATTTTTCTTGTGATTTCTTCCTTGACTCATTACTTGTTTAAAAGTGTGTTAATTTTCACGTATCTGTGGATTTTTCAGTTTTCATTCTGCTACTGATTTATAGATTTGTTGCATTGTTTTCAGAAAAGATACCTTATATGATTTCAGTCTTTTAAAGTTTATGCAGATTTATTTTGTTGCCTAACATATGACCTGTCTTAGAGAATGTTTTGTGTGCACTGGAGAAAATTGTGTATTCTGCTGCTGTTGGGTAGAGTGTTCTGTATATGTTTGTTAAGTTCAATTCATCTGTTTCCTTGTTAATCTTCTGTCAGGTTGTTCTCTCCATTATTGAAGTTGTATATTGAAGCCTCCTGCTGTTATCATAGAACTGTGTATTTCTCTTTTCAATTCTGTCAGTGTTTCATTCATATGTTTTTGAGCTCTGATGTTTGGTGCACATAAGTTTACAACTGTTATATCTTAGTGAATTCACCCTTTTATCATTATATAATGTCCTTCTTTGTCTATTGTAACAGCTTTTGACTTACAATCTATTTTTCCTAAAATAAGTACAGCCTGCTCTGCTCTTTTGGTTATTATTTGCATGAGGGAATCTTTTTCCATCCTTTCACCTTCAACCCATGCATGTCCTTAGAGCTAAAGTGAGCCTCTTGTAGACAGCATATAGTGGGATTATGTTGTTTTTTTTTTAAATCCACTCTGTCCATCTGTGTCTTTTGATTGGAGAGTTTAAACTATTTACATTTAAATTAATTGCTGGTAGGGAAGGACTTACTGTTGGCATTTTGTTAGTTATTTTCTGTGTGTGTTACAATTTTCTGTCTCATTTTTTTCCTTACTGCCTTCCTTTTCAGTTTTTTTGTAGTGACATGTTTTGATTTCTTTATTTCCTTTTGTGTATATTCTATAGATATTTACTTTGTGGTTCTACAGGGATTACGTATTTAAGGTTATAACATATATTTGAAACTGATAACAGTTTAACTTTAAATGCATGCAAGAGTACTCCTTTGCAACCTGCTTCCCCAACTTTGTTATTGATGTAACAAATGACATCTTTATATATTATATACCTGTTAACATAGACTTATGCTTTTTTTATTCTTTTGTCTTTGTAAAATTACAATAATACTGGTTTTTATATTTGCTCATGTACTTACCTTTACTGAGAACTTTATATTTTCATATGGCTTCAAGTTACCGCCTACTGTTCTTTCTTTTCAACTTGAAGGACTCCCTTTAAAATTTTTGTAAAAAGATCTACTGGTAGTGAACTCCCTTAGCATTATTTTTTATCTCAGAATATCTTAAATTTTCCCTTACTTTTGAAATAGATATATTTTGCTGGATATAATGTTCCCGGTTGACAGTTTTTTTCTTTCAGCACTTTAAATATATCATCCCCTGTTGTCTGGCTTGCAAGGTTTCTGTAGAGAAATCTACTGATACTCTTATTGAAGATCCTGTGTACATGTCAAGTGACTTTTCTCTTGCTACCTGTAATATTCTCTTTGTCTTTGATTATCGTGTTTCTTGGTTGAGATTCTTGGATTCGTATATTCCTGTCTTTCCTCAAATTTGGGAAATTTTGGGCCATTATTTCTCCAAATCAGCTCTCTGCTCCTTTCTCTGTCTCTCCTCTTGGACTCCCATAATGCATGATCCACTTAATGATGCCCCATAAATCCCTTAGGCTCTCTTCACTTCTCTTAACTTTTTTCTTTTTGTGCCTCACTCTATATTTTCACATGACCTGACTTCAAGTTTGCTGATTCATTCTTTTGCCTGTTTGAGTCTGCTTTTGATTTTCTCTAGTGAATTTTTCAATTCACTTACACTTTGTGCCTCTATTGGTGTTTGTGTGTATTTCTCTGCCTTTTTCCAGGATTTTTCTTTTTTTGTTCTAATTTACATATAACATTGTGTAAGTTTAAGGTGTACACCATGTTGATTTGATACATTTGTATATTGCAGTATGATTACCACCATAGCTTTAGTTAACACCTCTATTTTGTCACATAATTATCATTTCTTTTTTGTGGTGAGAACATTTAAGACCTAGTCTCTTAACAATTTTTAAGTATATAATACAGTATTGTTGACTATAATCACTATGCTGTGCAGTGGATCTCCAGAACTTATTCATCTTCTAGTTGCAAGTTTTTATCCTTTAACAACATCTCCCAGTTCCCCTGCATCCCTGGTAACCACCATTCTACTCTGTTTCTACAAGTTCAGCTTCAGCTTTTTTAGATTCTGCATATAAATAATGTCATAGATTATTTGTCTTTCTCTTTTTCCACTAAGCATAATGCCCTCAGAGTCCATCCATGTTGTCACAAATGGCAGGATTTCCTTTCTCAGGGCTGAATAATATTCCATCGTGTGTATGTGTATACACACCCTATCTTCTACTTTTCTTTTTTTTGCTGAGGAAGATTGGCCCTGGGCTAACATCTGTGCCCATCTTCCTCTACTTTATATGGGATGCCACTGCAGCATGGCTTGACAAGCGCTGCGTCGGTGAGTGCCTGGGATCCAAACCTGTGAACCTTCGGGCTGCTGAAGCAGAGCGCATGCACTTAACCGCTGCACCACTGACCCAGCCCCAACACCACATCTTCTTTATCTGTTTATCTGTTGATGGACACTTATATTGATTCTGTTTCTTGACTATTGTGAATAATGCTGCAATAAACCTGGGAGTGCAGATATCTTTTCAATATCCCATTTTCTTTTCATTTGTATATATACCCAGAAGTGGTGTTTCTAGATTATATTTACTTTGAATTTTGATTTTGAATATGGTTTGATTATGATATGCCTAGGTGTAGATTTTCTGGCATTTTCCTGCTTGGTGTTCTCTGAGCTTCCTTGTTCTGTGGTTTGGAGCTTTTATCATTGATTTCGGAAATTTCTCAACCATTATCACTCTAAATATTTTTTTTTTTTCTGCTTCCCTCCTTTGTTTTCTTCTGGTATTCCCATTATGCATATATTACAGCTTTTATAATTGTCCTGCAGTTCTTGGATGTTCTGTTACATTATTTTTTTTCTTTCATTTTTCTCTTTGCATTTCAGTTTGGAAAGTTTGTATTTATCTTATTTTCAAGTTTGCTGATTTTGGATTTTAAAAATTTCTTTCCAGTTGTTCATTGCAAGTATATTTAAATTCAGTTTATTTTTTTATGTTGTTCTTTTTTTTTTTTTTTTAAAGATTTTATTTATTCATGTTTTTCCCCCCAAAGCCCCAGTAGATAGTTGTATGTCGTAGGTTCACATCCTTCTAGTTGCTGTACGTGGGACTCGGCCTCGCGTTGGACGGAGAAGTGGTGCCTTGGGGCGCGCCCGGGATCCGAACCCGGGCCGCCAGCTTCAGAGCGCACGCACTTAACCGCTAAGCCACGGAGCCGGCCCATATGTTGTTCTTATATCATGCTACCTTGCTAGGTTCATATTATTTGTATAATTCTGATTAAAATGTTTGTATACATTAACATTGAGCTGTAACTGTGGAGGTCAGAACTTACAGTAAATGATGTGGTCAAACATACCATCTTAGACTAAGTTGAAGAATGAAGGTGAGCTAATAAGAGCATAGTTGGATTCTGTTTTCTGTTATGTACATTATTTACAATTATTTTTCCTTAAAATGACATTTAAGAATAAGTATTTCTAATTTTAAAATGAAAAATATTTGAGTATTTCAATTTTATTTTTTAAAATTTTTTTAGGAGCTGTGGCCTTGAAGAACCTTGAAATTAAAGAAAATGCCCTGGTAAGTTTTCACTATAAAAAATTTGTAATGTTAGTGCATTTAGCTATATAGACTTGTTCCTGATTTACTTTCACTTTAAATTATTTAAGTTTGAGAAAATTTTTTGAAAATAATTTCTGTAAATTGTGAATTTTGCAAAATGGACTTTTAATCTCCTTAAAAGCACAGGCTGACAGGGTAATTTTTCCCATTTAAAAATGTTTCTAATATTTATTTCTCATATATGATTTTATTTTAAATGGTTAATTTATTTCCCCAATTGTCTTCAAGTTTTTTTATACGATTTTAACCATTTTTAACTGTAGAATTCAAGCATTAATTATATTCACAATGTTGTGCAACCATCACCTAAGGGAACTGTGCAACCATTAAGAAATGACTCCCCATTCCCTCTCTCCATAGACTTTGCTAAACTCTAATCTACTTTCTGTCTCTATGAATTTGCCTATTCCAGGTGCCTTATATAAGTGGAGTCATGCTATGTTTCTTATTTTGTATCTGGCTTATTTCACTTAGCATAATTTCCTTCAAAGTTCATCCATGTTGTAATATATATCAGAACACCACTCGTTTTTATGGCTGAATAATATTCCACTGTATGTATATGGCACATTTTGTTTATCCATTCATCTGTTGATGGATGCTTGGGTTGCTTCTGCCTTTTGGCTCTTGTGAATAATGCTGCTATAAACATTGGCATACATATGTCTATTTGAGTCCCTGCTTTCAATTTCTTTGGGTAAATATCTATGAATGGCATTGCTGGATTATATGGTAATTTTATATTTAGCCTTTTCAGGAACTGCCACACTGTTTTCCATAGCAGTTGAGCCATTTTATATCACACCAGCAATGCATGAGGATTCCAGTTTCTCCACATCCTTGCCAGCATTTATTTTCTGCTTTTTGGATAATAGCCATTGTAATGAGTATAAAGTGGTATTTCATTTTGGTTTTTCTTAGCATTTCTCTAATGACTAGTGAAGTTGAGCAAATTTGATGTGTTTACTGACCCTTGTGTATGTTCCTTGGAGAAATGTCTATTGAAAAGTGTTGCTGATTTCTTACTCAAGTTTGTTCTGTTTTGTTTTGTGGTTAAGTTGTAGTTCTTTATATATTCTGAATATTTTCCCTTACCAGATATATGATTTGCAAATCCTCATTTCATGGATTGCCTTATGCCTCTGTTGATAGTATCCTTTGCATAGAAGTTTTTAATTTTGATGAAATTGAATTCATCTATTTTTTATTTTGTTGCCTGTGCCTTTGATGTGATATCCAAGAAATCATTGCCAAATCTAATGTTAAGAAGATTTTAACTTATATTTTCTTTTTTTTTTTTTAAAGATTTATTTATTTATTTATTCCCCCCCCCGCAAAGCCCCAGTAGATAGTTGTATGTCATAGCTGCACATCCTTCTAGTTGCTGTATGTGGGACGCGGCCTCAGCATGGCCGGAGAAGTGGTGCGTTGGTGCGCGCCCGGGATCCGAACCCCGGGCCGCCAGCAGCGGAGCGCACGCACTTAACCGCTAAGCCATGGGGCCGGCCCCTTATATTTTCTTTTGAGGGTTTCAGTTTTAGTTCTTGTGTTTAGAGCTTTGGTCCATTTTAAGTGAATTTTGTATATGGTATAAGAGTCTAACTTCATTCTTTTGCAAGTGGATATCCATCCAGTTTTCCCAGCACCATTTATTGAAAAGGTTGTCTTTTTCCCCATTGAATGGGGGGGAATTTTTTTGAGTTTTTTTTTTCTTTTTTTTGCAAAGTGGGGTTTTAATCTCTTTACAAGCAGAAACTGACAGTGGAATTTCCCACTTTTTTTTTCCCCAAATAATGTAAAAGCAGTAGTCATGCTGGTATGGGTAATTTACGTGATTAGTATTACTGTAGAATCTTTCCGCTATTTATTTTAAAGTGACCAGTCTCCCTGAATTTTATGATTTTGAGAATAATATTGCAATTATATATTTATAAATTTAAATGAGTGTTGAAGGTAAAGGGAAAGTGTAAGTTACCTTAAATCCTTTAAATAATTTTGGGAAGAAAAAAGTCATTATCTATTTTGTGGAACTGTATATGTACTATAATTTTACATATTTTTTTTGTAGAGTCAACTGGATGTACCATTTAAAATTAAAGTTGGTCATATAGGTAAGCTATGTTTATTATTTAAATGTCCTTCTTGCTGGACATGCAACTAGAGTAATATGCCTAGTATCTCTATAATGTGATATTTTTAATGTTTCTGAGCATTAATTGGAAATAATCGTGTGTTTTCATCTAGGTAGATATTAGTTGTGTAACTTAAAAATATTGTGTGGTCCGTATATCCCTTGTCCAGTACCTATGAAATTACACATTTGAAATTATACATTTTATTAGGTGTTAAAAATGAGTTAATTGAGAGCCAAAGCATTAAATCTAATGAAGAGCATAACTATCTCAGTTCCTTAGGTTTCTGACACTAGTTATCATTGCTGTATTCTGATTGGCCATGGATATGCGGTGTAGGGAGTAGGGTCTGGATCATGCAGGCAGCGTGGCTAGGGACCAATCAGAAACCTACTTTCTGCTCTGGAAGTTTTCTAGGTTTGCAGGAAATATTGTATTATTTTTGCAGTATGTGTAGTTTACATTTTAAGTGAATTGGGGGAGCAGAAACTGATTGGAATATGACGTTTTAACATGTTGAATAAAAACATGTATGTTTGGTTTCTTACAGTATGTTAGTTTATTGTTTTAACTTTATTGTTTAAACTGTTGTTTATACTTTGTTGGTTTAAATATTGTGCAAGACAATAGTGTCATTGTTTGGGACTTGGAAGTGTTTTTGTTACATAGTTTGTGTAGTAGGATTTATATAATGTTGTTGCAACATATTAGTGTCACTTGGGGAACAAGGTATTCTGAAAGCTTGTGTAAGTTACATGGTGCTGTCTCCACAGTTTTGTGCACTTATGGTTGCTATTAGACGATATGCCAGAGAAAGTTTTCATCATTTTACATTGCTGGGACTCAAAATCTGTCTCTTCCCTCCCTCAATTTAAAGATGATTTGGTGTAAATAAGAGGGGAAAAAATGTCACCCATTACTTTTCCACCTAACATATTTATTTTTGCATATTTCTATATGATTGTTTACATGTGTAAATTTTAACTACTTGTAATCATGATATATATATATATGATTTTATGTTCAATTTTTTAAAGTTAACATTTAATAAAGATTTCTCATAATCCACGTTGATTTGACCTCATTTATTTCTTGTGGTAGTGTAATAATCCGATGAATGCATATTTGGACATTGTAGAATAATCTGCTATTTTCCATTGGTATAAAAATATTATAGTAAACATTTTCATGTAGTTTTTAAAATTTTTCCAAACATCATTGAATTTTATAATTATCATTGTATTTCAGTGTATATAAATTTAACATCAATTCAAGAAAAGTGAAAAAATATGTAAGACTAGATAGACCTGGTTTCATTTAGAGCCTGCCTTCTTTCCTTCCTATTTTTTCTTGCCTGACCATCTTTAAAAATGATACTAAGGTAATTTTCAGTATTAATATAAGATAGTGAAATGTACACTGCACTAAATACTAGATAATTTTGAGAATCATTTAAGGTGTCGTTTGCATACCTCTATCATAGGGCCTGTCATTCTTGAATATCATTGTTATTTTTTTTTCTTCTACTTGACAGTAAGGTTCTTGAGAAGAAGTAGATTTAATTTTTATTGTATCCTCACCACTTACCACAATACCTGGCATATAGTAGGAACAGTTTGTTGAATGAAACAACTACACATATCCAAATGAGTGGTATAGTAGTACAACCAGTTTTATAGGAACATATTGTCCCCTTGCCATTACTGGGTGTTGTTAATCTTACTGATCTTTCAAAATTTTCTTCATTTAGCATACAGAGTTACATATATATCAAATATAAATTCTCACATATTTTAAAAGTAGTTGTCTTTATGTGGACAACTTTTGTTTGTATTTGTTTGTAATTACCTTTGTTTATATTTTTCAGAATTTTCCACATTTTCTATAAGAAGTCTACACTTTATAGTGAGAGGAAAAAACAGTTTGGTTTAAAAAAAGATTTAGTGGTGAAAATGCTACATTATTAATTTTATATGTGCTTCTTTGATTACTTAATGTTATTTCGTCACTATTCTCTGTCCTTTTGTTCATTTACTTTTTTGGATTATTAGTGTATGCGTGTATATGTGTGTAAGCAGTCTGCTTGGTACATTTTCTTTTTGTAATTTTTTTGTTTCCTCCCCAAAGCCCCAGTACATAGTTGTTTATTCTAAGTGTAAGTCCTTCTAGTTCTATGTGAGTGCTGCCACAGCTTGGCTACTGACAGATGAGTGGTGTGGTTCCTCGCCTGGGAACCAAATCCAGGCCACCAAAGTGGAGCACGCCAAAGTTTAACCACTAGGCCATCAGGGCTGGCTCTGCTCGATACAATTATAAATAAATTAACTGTGTCAAATTTGGCACAATTATTTTTTACAATCTGCTCATTTCATTTTGGTTATATTTTGGACTGTATAGAAATTTGACATGGTTCTGTCTTCTCTCATCTAAATCTTAAAACATTGTCCCTCTTTTAGAAATCAGATTATTTTTCTCTGGATTGATATTATATGATTAAATCTCTTTCTCATTTTGTTGTTTTTTAAGATATGGATTTTTGGGGTTATGTAATGAGATAGATCTAAGTAGATTTTTTTTCTCTTCCTAAATTACTAACCAGTTAATGCAGTAATAGTGTATTTAGTAATCTTTCCCTTCCCCAATCATGACAATTATTTCTAAATCTAGAGATGCCTACTTTCTAAAAAATTTTAAAATTGTTTAGAACTTTTTATTATGGAAATTTTCTAAATACGCAAAATTAAAGTCAATAGTATAATGAACCTCTTACACAGTATTTTATAGTTCAAGAAATCTAATGCTTTTTAAAATACTTTGCTACTGGATTGTAGTAACATTTTCATTAGTTTGAATAATTTTCTAATATTGCCCATGATCCTTGATTATTACCATAGAACTTTGTGCATACACTTATGGAGAAAAATCATACACATATATTACTATATATAGATACATATAATCTCTATATGTGAAAAAGGCACATATTCACACTTACATAAAGTAATCTACTTTTTTAAAGTATAAGAAAAATACTTATAGAGATTTAGAGTAAGAATTGGGGAAATTCCAAGTTATGATATCAAGGATTGTTGATTAACAGAAAAATATTGGTATATTTTTGATACAAATCACCATAAATAGAAACTTGTAAATATTTAGAATATCAATTAGTAGGATTTCCAAAAATGCTAATACAAGTAATTTAAATCATCACAACAGAGGCTTGTTGTTTTTGGTTGTAAAATAGCTTTCTATAAATTGACTGAGTTCCTAAGGTCAAAGGCTACTTTTTTGTCTCTTTTAATGCCTGACAGAAAATGGGCTGACAGTGACTATATGTTGAATGAATAATAATTTTTGTCTTTTTTTTTTTTTTTTTTAATGTAGGTAATCTTAATCTTATAATTCCATGGAAAAACCTTTATACTCAACCAGTTGAAGCTGTATTGGAAGACATTTATTTGCTCATAGTGCCTTCTTCTAGTAAGTCAAATTTTAAACATCATAATTTAAATTACTCTTTTTTGTGGATGGAAAAAATCTTTATATTTGATAATTATATTCAACATACTTTTGGGGAATTTTTTGAGATATTTTTATATTTAAACTTGCTATTTGGTAATTCAGATTAAATTGGATTTTACTCTAAATTTTTGCAGACTTTGAGTTAGTGATTATTTTCAAGGATAGTTTTTGGAATGAGTATATTTAAATTTAAGGTAATTAAGGTTCTTCCTTTTTATGCTTCCTGTAGAAATAAAATATGATCCTCTAAAAGAAGAAAAACAACTCTTAGAAGCAAAGCAGCAGGAACTAAAAAGAATAGAAGAAGCAAAACAAAAAGTAGCTGATCAAGGTAAAGAAAACAATAGATAAGGATGGTAATAAGGAAAATGGAAAAGACCTAAATATTTATCAATATTATATCAATATTTATAATATATCAATATATATCTATATATAATATTTGAATATTTTCTCTGGAGGCACTGAGATTATTTAACAAATATGAGAGAATCTTATTACATGGGGAATTTTAATGTGGTTTGTGTGTTTTATCATATTGACAGAAATTTTACTTTACAGAAATTTACTTTAGGGCAAATAATATACCTAGTTTATGAGTAAGATTAGTTTTTATCTATAGTAGTTAATTTCTTTCTTTTTTTTTTTTTTATAATTTTTATTTATTTATTTTTTCCCCCAAAGCCCCAGTAGATAGTTGTATGTCATAGCTGCACATCCTTCTAGTTGCTGTATGTGGGACGCGGCCTCAGCATGGCCAGAGAAGTGGTGCATCGGTGTGCGCCCGGGACCCGAACCCGGGCCGCCAGCAGCAGAGCACGCGCACTTAACCACTAAGCCAAGGAGCCGGCCCTATAGTAGTTAATTTCATCAATTATATTTTCTTACCTTTCTAGCCTTTTTTATTCCCCTTATATTAATTCTTCACCTTTTGCAGATACTTAGTCCATCAATATATTTATATTTTCCTGAATCTGTTTACCCTCTGGCTTCGCATCCTTTCCTATTCAACCTAGACCAAACGGTCCTTTACTTCAGCCCCTTCTCTTGTCAGTGGAAGAGATGTCCTGCAGAAATCTAGTCACTGTCCACTTGTGTTGTGGTCACCATCATCAGCTACTTTTTGTAGTCTAACTTCTCCCTCTAGTGAATCCTTTTCCTTAGCATGTAAATATACTGTAACCTCTCTTATCTTCAAACCTAAAATCATCTTCCTAACCTAACCTATTCATCTCTTTATCTTCTATTCCTTGATCCTTCATTTAATAGCTAAGCATCTTAAAAAATATATGTATGTACCAACTTTGCTGTCCTTACCATGCATTGATTTTTTAATTAAAAAATAAAATACAATAATAAAAGTTTTACCTTTTGACAAACAGGTAAAAACATGAAAGGAGAATTAACACAATTCCTGGCAACACTTCTTGTAATTTTTTCATTTCAGTCACAGTTCTTTCTTATCCTGTGTAGTCATTTATCCCTACCCTCAATCCCCTTTTTTTAAAAAAAGATATTTTCTTACTGTAGCATACACATAACATAAAATTAACCATTTTAATCAGTTTTAAGCATACAATTCAGTGGTATTAAATACATTTGTAATGTTTTGCAACCATTACCACCATCCATCTCCATGTCTCTTTTCATCTTACAAAATTGAAACTTTATACTCATTAAACAGTAACTCATCCATTCCTCCCCCATCAACCCCGCTCCCTGGCAACTGTAATTCTGCTTTCTAAGATTTTGACTACTCTAAGTACCTCATGTAAGAGGACTCATACAGTATTTGTCTTTTTCTCACTGCCTTGTTTCACTTAGTATCATGTCTTCAAGGTTCATCGATGCTGTAGCATATGTCAGAATTTCTTTTTTAAGACTGAATAATATTCCATTTTATGTATATACCAAATTTTGCTTATCCATTCATTCATTTATCAAAGGACACTTATGTAGCTTCTATGCTTGAGCTATTTTGAAGAATGCTGCTCTGAACGTGGATGTACAAATGTCCCTTTGAAACACTGCTTTCAATTTTTGGGGATATATACCCAGAAGCAGAATTGCTGAATCATATGGTAATTCTACTATGTATGTATATTTTTGTGTGTGTGTGAGGAAGATTGGCCCTGGGCTAACATCCATGCCCATTGTCCTCCACTTCATATGGAATGCCACCAAAGCATGGCTTGATAAGCGGCGTGTTGGTCTGCACCTGGGATATGAACCCACAAACCCCGGGCCACCGAAGCAGAGTGTGTGAACTTAACCACTACGCCACCGGGCCTGTCCCTAATTCTACTACATTTTTAATTTTTTGAGGAGTCACCATACTGTTTTCTACAGGGACTTGTACCATGTTATATTCCCACCAACAGTTCAGAAGGGTTCCAATTCCTTCACATCCTTGCCGACATTTGCTATTTTCTGTTTTTTTTGATAGTAGCATCCTAATGGGAATGAAGTGGTGTCTCATATAGTTTTGATTTGCATTTCCCTAGAGATTAGTATTTTAGCATCTTTTCATGTGCTTATTGGCCATTTGTATATCTTCTTTGGAGGAACGTCTGTTCACGTCTTTGCCCATCTTTTAATCAATTTGATTTTTTTTTTTTTAAGAATTTTTTTTTACTTTTTTTTTTTGAGTAAGATTGGCCCTGCACTAACATCTGTTGCCAGTCTTCCTCTTTTTTCTTTTTTCTCTCCAAAGCCCCAGTACATAGTTTTGTATCATAGTTGTAGAGTTGTAGCTCTTCTATGTGGCATGCTGCCTCAGCATGGCTTGATGGGTGGTGTGTAGGTCCACGCCTAGGATCCGAACCCAGGAACTCCAGGCCGCCAAAGTGGAATGTGCAAACTTAACCGCTAGGCCACTCAATTTGATTTTTTGTTGTTGTTGAGTGATAGGAGTTCTTTATATGTCTTGGATGTTAATCCCGTATTAGATTTATGATTTGCAAATTTTCTCCCATTCTGTGGGTAGCCTCTTTACTCTGTTGATAGTGTCCTATGATGCACAAAATTTTAAAATTTTCATGAAGTCCAATTTGTCTACTTTTTCTTTTGTTGCCTGTGCCTTTGGTGTCATATGCAAGAAATCCTTGCCAAATCCAATGTCTGCACCTTTTGCCCTATGTTTTCTTCTAAGAGTTTATTGTGGTTTTTAGGTCATATATTTAAATCTTTGATCCATTTTGAGTTATTTTTAGTATGGCAACACCTGCTTTCTTTTGTTTGCCATTAGCTTGGAGTATTGTCTTCCATCCTTTCACTCTGAGCCTGTGCTTGTCTTGAGAGCTGAGATGTGTTTCCTGGAGGCAGCATATTGTTGGGTCTTGCTTTTTAATCCAATCCTGCCACTCTGTATCTTTTGATTGGAGAGTTCAATCCATTTACATTTAGGGTAATTATTGATAGATGAGGGCTTAATGTTGCTGTTTTGTCACTTATTTTCTGGTTCTTTTGTGTTTCCTTTGTTTCTTGTCCCATTTGTTTCGGACTGCCAATTCAGTTTGGTTGTTCTATCTTATGACGCTTCTAGTTTTCTCTTTGTTTATCATATGTGATTTTGTTTTGATTATTTGTTTAGTGGTTGCCTTGAGGTTTGTGTAAAAAATCTTGTATATGAGATAGTCCATTATCCAGTGGCCTCCTATTTCCTTATACTAAGTCAATTCAATCACTTTCCTCTTCCCCTTCTAAGTCGTTCTTGTTATACCTTATTCTATCTTGTGTTGTGGCTGTGTGTTTACAGTGATGAGGTTAAATTTATTTTTGGTGAATTCCTTCCTTTGATCTTTGGTTTTGGTATTTAAGTGGTTGCTAACCTATTCTGGTAAAGATCCACTATTTTTCTGAGTTTATCTACCTATTTTTCTCCTTGCTCCAAGTTTTGTATTCCCTTTCTCTTCTTTTTTCAGGCCTGAGGGCCTTCTTGAGTATTTCTTGTAGTGGGGGTCTCGTGGCCATGAACTCCCTTAGCTTTTGTTTATCTGGGAGAGTTACTATTTCTTCATCATATTTGAAGGATATTTTTGCTGGATAGAGTATTCTTTGCTGAAAGTTTTTGTCTTTCAGTATTTTGAATATATCATTCCAGTCTCTCCTAGCCTGTAAAGTTTCTGTTGAGAAATCCGCCGAGAGCCTAATGGGAGTTCCTTTGTACGTTATTTTTTGTTTTTGTCTAGCTGCTCTTAATATTGTTTCTTTGTCATTGACTCTGGCTAGCCTTACCACTAGGTGGCGTGGACTGGGCCTCTGCCTGTTGACATATTTTGGTGACCTGTTGGCTTCCCTTACTGGTATTTCCTGCTCCTTCCCCAGATTTGGGAAGTTCTCAGCTATTATTTCCTTGAATAGGCTCTCTGTTCCTCTTTCCCTCTCTTCTCCCTGAGGAATACCTATAATTCTTCTGTTACATTTCCTAATTGAGTCAGATATTTCTCGGAGTCTTTCTTCATTTCTTTTTAGTCTTAGTTCTTTCTCCTCTTCCATCTGGAGCATATCTGTATTCCTGTCCTCTAAAATGCTAGTTCTTTCCTCCATATTGTCAGCTCTGTTCTTTAAAGATTCCAGTTTCTCCTTTATCTCCTCCATTGTGTTCTTCATCTCCATCAGCACTGATTGGTTTTTCTTTATGATTTCAATCTCTTTTGTGAAGAAATTCCTAATCTCGTTGAATTGTTTGTGTTGTCTCGTATTTCGTTGAGTGTTTTTATGATAGCTATTTTGAAATCTCTGTCGTTTAGGTTATGGATTTCTGTGTTTTCAGGGTTGGTTTCTGGGTGCTTGTCATTTTCCTTCTGGTCTGGTGATTTCATGTATCTTTGCATTGTGGTTCGTGTATTGGCTTTGGTTTTCCTCATCCTGGAAATCTCTGGTTGCGGTTTCCACCTGCCGCCACTGTGTGGGGGTAAAGGGCTATGTAATCTGAGCCCCCTGCGCTCTGCTGCCGTTTTTCCCTGTGATCCGCACAGGTCGCTTGGTCTGGTCTGGTTGGCTGAGCTGTAGGGTCCGGTTTGCAGGGGCGGGGGTCTCTCTCTTTTGCCCGTTGGGTCCCTGGCGTGGGGGGGCTTCTCGTTCGCCCCTCGTTATCCGCTCTCTGGGGTGCTCAGATGTTGATGGTACCCCATAGCAGTTCTGAGTCCTCTGTGTGGGAGTTTTCCACTGGCTGAGAGAGCCCGAAGAGCTACAGTTTCCCCACAGAGGGCCGCCCCTCCCCCTCTCTGGGAGCCTCGGGGATCAGGATCACTGATCTGATGGGGTGGGAGAGGAGTTCTCCTTACCCCTCCCCACTTCCTCTGGGGGCCCAGCACGTTCCACTCTCAG